AGAGTTGAGGAAAAGGAGAGGAAGACGAGAGGGAGAGGAGAGGTCCGCTCCTCGCCCTGCCTCGGCGCCCTGCCAGCCCCGCGAACCCCCCGTCCCCTCACTCTTCTTCCCTGGACAAAAAACTTTGCAAAAACTTCGGGTTCCCCCTCGGTTTCAGGAGCCCTGCCCCTCTCCCGCCTGCTGAAGCTCGTCTTTCTCCTCTCTGTCTGCCTGGTAGACAGACCAGCGGCACCCAACATTGATAACGCTAATGATGCCATTTGCCACTGCAGGCACCAAAAGCTTGCAATAAGTGGCTCTGCGGTTGAAACGGTCAACCTCTTGCCCAGGTTTTTGGACAATTGGACGGCAAAATAGAAGAGGTGTTATGTGAGGGTGGGAAGGTGACACTATTAACAAGGAAGCTATCACTTGTCTGGCATCAAGCTCAGCATTAAACAAATGCAATGATCATTTAATGAGAATTTGACTGTGATTGCACTCTGACTTCTAACTAGGCTGTGCCCAGCACAGTCCGGGAGTGGTAGTCAGGACCTGTGTCTGGAAATGCACCCCTAAGATGACTTCCCCATCCCATGGCATGAATGAACACCCAAAATTTTGGTCATTGGAGAAACACTTCTCCACAATAAGATCTACACACATCCTATCCCATCATCTCACTGCCCAGCACCAGTGCAAACTCTGATCACATGAGCAGACGTGTGCCTATCACAGGATTAGGGGAGCAGGCATTTTCAGCACGTAACTCATGCGTTGGACCAAGTCTTGGAGCAGTTTCAAGGCCTCGACAAAGAGGTCAGTAGGAGGAAAAATCTTTGTAGTCTGAAGGGCTGAAAAAGAATAGCAGCTAAGGGGCATTACATGGGTTTCACAGAGGACGGGGACATATGAATTCTTATTGGATTGTATAAAATGGGCTTTTGTCACAGCTGTGACAAATGTGATTGAACTGTGCCCAATGTCAATTCTTCAAAAGATACTCAGGGAGGTGTCCTGTGAGGACAAAACATTTGATGGCAAATTCTAGGGAACAGATTGTAGCTATAAAATCAGAACAATAAGATGATATCACCATAAACAAATTGCAAAAATCTCAGGTGAGTAATCTCCAATCATGAAGAGTTTCACCGGTCCTCTCAATATCCTCCTTAAAGCTCCTGCCAGAAAAATCAATAAAGCTGTTATATGTATCTAGAAAGTATATACTTGTACTTACTTGTTAATATCATGTGGGTGAAAAATGGGATTGTGAGAAGCATTAATTTTGTCAATAATAATAAAAGTATACAATTTCTGTTAAAAAGTAGCTTTAAAATATTATTTGCATATTTATTGCATAGCATGTGGCTCTTCAAAGAATGCAAACAAAAAGCTATAACTAGGAATAATTGTAACATTTCCTAGAAACCGAAAAAATGTTATTTTTAAGTCAATGCCTTTAAGAATTTCCATTTTTGAATAACGTTGAGGGACTGCTTGCCATTTAACTGCCTCAAGAGATATTATCAGCAAGCGCATATGGACTGGTAAAATAATGAAGGGCTGATTTACGATCTAATCTAGTTTTAAATCATCTGCCTGGAAAAATTAATGGCCTGCATATTGCTGCATAGTAAGTTGTATTGTAACAAGGTATCAATATATTGTTTAATTATATACACACACACATGTTTATGTACTTTTACAGACAGATACTTTTTATTCATAGGTTCTCTTCCACTCTTCAGTTTTCGCCACTACTTCCTTAGAATATCAATACAAATCCTCTCTGCCTCTGGATTATGCTTGAAGCCTTGTTTACTGCAGTTTTGTTCTTCTCAAATCTAACCAAATAATCAGTACCATCACTATAATCAAAATAATCTTCCTCCTTTAACACTGATGGTCATTCCCACCATTCAGATTTCATTCCAAATTCATAACAAAATAGAGCTGTAAATAATTTTTTTCTGAACTACTTGCAAGCATAATTCATTCAGCACACAATTTTTGCATAGGGGAGAAGTAAGGGCAGAGCCGGGCACCATAATCATCTTTTTGTCACTATAGCAGAACTTCCTTTGTGTAGTGCCAAGAGGTAATTTTCCAGCGGTCTCACTGTCAGCACTCAGATCACCTCAGAAGGAGATGCAGAAGGTATTTTCCTCAGCACAGAAAGTGAGAGCTGTTGGAAGAAAAAGGAGGTTAAATTTCATCCATTTTGCAAGAAATAGGCCAGAAATGGTCTGCTCAGGAAAGTGCTCACTTCATGACAAGGTCAAAAGTTAAAGAGTTCCTCCAGTTCAGACAGGAGTGTAGAGCTGGCTGCTGTTTTCAGCAGATGCATTAATTGGTTTCCCAAGGCTGTGCCTGCACCTGGAGTAGCTCGGTGCCCAGACGTGGTCGTGGCTGAGGGGGGCACAATGAGAAGCACTGAGGGCAGCCCTCAAACTCACCTCCAGCACAAGCAGCTCTCGTGGCCTACTCTGCTGCTCCCAGGGACCCCATGAAGAGACAAACACCCTATTCTCCTTTCGTTTTAGACATCTGGCTTTTAAACTACTGGGAGGTCTAGCTGAAGTTAAAAGATAAGATACCAAAGATTTCATTCCATGTTGCCAAGGACGGACCATGCAGTTAGTGAAGTTGTCTGCCTTCAGTCCCAATGTCGCTTGGATGTAGTAGGGAAGAAATCTAGCAAACTAATAAACCAGTGCCTCCTGCAGCAAAATAGGCAGCCCCAGCAGCATATGTAGTTTTTCTCACCTCCAGGCTGTGTAGCCCACATCGTCACAGAGACCAGATGGTAGGAGTCAGCTCTGTGGGGCTGTGACGATACATGCATGAAAAACACATAGTGCTATAATCATGAGGAAAAGATACCCTGATGTGGAACAAAATAAATTGGGAGGTTTCATTTGCTAAACAATCAAAATGCCTGAATCTCTGGGCATTATGGGCTGAGCTGCTCTGTCAAAAGTATGTTTTCTTTGTCTGTGACCACAACTATGAGTTCTATAATAATTATGGAAATCTAGACCCTTGTTCCAAATTTTTTTTTACCATGGAAAAAACCAAATCATAAGATTCTTTCACCACTACTATCCTGACCTTTATTTATTTATTATATAAAGAATCAGGTAATTTCATAATCCCTGGTGGTCCATAGCAATATTTTTTCTGTGCAGCATAATGACGGATATGCCCCTTGAGTAGACGGTGCTTTAAATGGAGTAAATCATTTACCACTGCTGGCAATCATTCATTCCGCTATCAGAGAAAACCAAGCAGTGCTGAGTGAAGGTCAGGGATTAGCTCCAGCCCAAATGGGCTGGGCTGGGCTCTCACAGGTACAGCTTTGAAATGGGCCTGTGGGAATCCACAGGCTGGTTCCCAAGTGTGCATTTAGGGAAGGGGGCATGGGCCAAGGGCACTCCTCTGTCCTGCAGCAGGCAACCATGAGGCAGGCTGGGGGGCTCTCCTGAGGGCTGAGGTTCCTTTCTTTTTTCGTGTAATCTGAATATTTTTTTCCAGCCTGTTTACCTCTCATCTAAAACCATTAGGAAAAGAGCAGTGTCCTCAGACTGAATGTACCTGTTGTGAATCCAATTATTTTATAATTCATGGGTGTTGTCCTTCAGCAGCGTCTTATGCTCACTTTCCTCCATGTCCAAGTGCCCTAATTCTACTTAATCGCTCTTCAGACATCACAGCCTTAATACCTAATTAGCATCACCAAAACAAGGTAGTCATTCAACCCATAAAACAGGACAGGAATGGGAGGTACCTGGTATAATCCGCAACAACTTCTTCAGTAGCATTTCCAGTTCAAACTTCAGTTTCCTCATGCATGCCAAAAAAACTGCCATTATCTGAATTTAGAAGAAAGCAATTTTTCTGACCAGCTCTTGTCAGTAGCCCTTGACTGAACTCAGCTTACATTAGAGACTCGTCTGGGGCTGGCACAGTTGAAATAAGCTGGCTATGTGCAATTGATGAGCTGTTAAGCCTGCTTCAAAAGCCTTGTGGAAATACTAGGACATCAGCATGGCCTGCAGAGGTGTGACTAACACTTTCCTATGCCAGCAAGAGACACCTTATGTGCTTCTGTTGGCCTGAAATGACCTAAAATCTCAGAAATAAAAGGATGGCAAAGAGCCCTCCTCCTCTGCACGCTGTGCCGATGACTGCCATACAGGTAGTCATGAAGGTGCGTATCAGCTCACTGACTCTGCAGCTTCAGTTTTCTACACTTTGGTTGTGCAGAGAGCTCTGTAATGGCCCAGAGTTGCACTGGATGAAATCCCGCCTCTATTAAAGGAAATGGCACAGTCCTTGGCAGTTGGCATTTCATCCCAGAGCTCTCCAGAGGCCTCAGGCTCATTTAGATCATGCTCACACAATATCCAGGGTCTTTGGACAATTAAGGTCTGCAGACTTGTTGCTGCAACTTTTCCTCCTTTACCTTATCTTTTCATTTGCATTTTCAAAACATAAAAAAGGGAAAATGTCAGATAAAGCACTGTGTCATCCTTGACCTCCATATTAATATTGGCTTTGCCTAGAAATCCTTTTCCAAGGCTGAAAACTGACCATCTTCATGCATGGAGTGGTAAAGAAGTGCTAGCAATCACCTCGCTCAAAACTATTCCTGCATGAATGGAAGATAGTGCAGCATGTGAACGTTATTTCCTAGAGCTGCTAATACTTGTTTTGAAGCACATCTGAAAGAAAACCCATGGTATAATGCATACTT